ATCTCATCACTAGTAAAATCCATTTGTATGTATTATAGTAAAGGATATTGAATATTAGAATAAAATAAACTGAATAAGATCGAATAAAGAAATTAGATATTGAAATTGAAAATATAATACAACCAAATGTCTAAATTGAATATCGGAGTAAAGAAAATAGAGTAAAGAAATTGGAGACTAGAATACTGAATATTGAGTAAAGAAATTAGAGATAGATTGAAGTAAATTGATATGAAATTGTAAAAAAAATTTCTTGTATTTATAGCAAAAAAAAAGTATATTCGTTTTAATTATATTTAAATTTCAAATTCAAATTTTGAATTTTTTTAACGTGATTTGTACTTTGACTAGACTTGCGTGGACACCGCAGTCAAATTTTGACAAGTTGCGTGCAACGACTATTTTGAAAATTTCTAGCTGTTTGCATAAAGCAAACAACTATTAGCTTTATTTAAAAATTTTCAAACGGACAGCTCGTATGGGCTGAAATGACTCGTGACACAAGTTGGCCCGAGCCAAATGGCCAATGCCCCAAAATGGGGCTCGGCTTGAACCGGGCTTTTTTCGGGCCAAGGCCAAGCTCGAGCCATAGCCGGAGTCGACGAGCTTTTTGGCGATCCCTAATGGATGATATAGATTTTGTCAACTCAAATTGTTAATAAATTATTTGAATCAAACAAAATATATATGATATGCCCCCTCCGTCTCATTTATATAGGTTTGTTTTCTATTTTCACTCGAATTAAGAAATCTTATTTAATATTGTTAAAAAAATAATTTTTGTCAAAAACTTTCCTAATTTACCCTTATTTAATGATCAACGACTAATAATAAATTGGTCATGACTAGACAAATTAAATAAGGGAATATTGGTAAATAAAAAAAAACATTCTTAATAAAGAAACAAAATTATATAATTAGGACAAGAAAAAAAGGAAATACAGCATATATAAATGGAATGTAGGGAGTATTAAATATTACACCTGATGATATTCATTTTTTGGACAGTTCTATTATTACAACAATTCAGTTATTTCAACAGTATCTTGCTTTTTTCATTTTTCAATATGTATTTAATTATTTCAATAATATCTTACTTTTTTTGTTTTTCAATACGTATCTAATTTATTAATCATTCGAACTATTTGAATGATATTATCATTAATTATTTTGTCATCTATTTAGTTATGATGAATATCATTCGACATATTTATTACCTTACTTTTCGTTTTTCAATATGTATTTAGCCCTTGTTTGATTCTTATTATTTCTAAATTACATTTTTCTCTCTCTTATTTTCAACCATGCATCTTCCAAAAAATAATATTATGCACAAGCACAATTTTTTTCTTATTTTCTAACTATACATTATCCATCAATGTACTATTTCAAAATTCATTTTTAGAATAAAAATGGGGCAAAAATATGCACTTAATTTATTTAACCATATTTCACAGATTTATTACCTTTTCTTTTTCAATGTGTATTTAATTTATTTAATCATCTGAACAATATTGTCATAAAATATTTTATCAATTATTTAGTTACGATCAATGTATATCTGACATATTCATTCCACTTGATTGGATAGTAAATTAATTTCATTATAATTTTTTTGGAATAAAAGATGAATATTTTTTGAGTTTTCTTAAAGTTGATTTATTTAGTAAATGTTAAGATACAGGGGAATGTAAATCGGATTCATATCTATAATAAATAATTTCAATTGACGTATATAATACATATTTAAGTGAATATGAAGAAATGATGATATTCGTTGGATGTTCAGTTCGGATCAAAAGAGTAAATGGAGGGTTTATTTTAACTGACTTCCTCGACTATTTAAATTATTTTCACAAAGGGGTTATTATTTCATTTGAAGCAAAAATTCATTCCACGTAAACAATTTAAATTAATTATTTTTTATATTCTCACATCTTACAATGCCCTTGTTTGATCCTCATTATTTTTAAAATAAAATTTTCTCACTTTTCTTTTTAATCACATTTTTCAATAAAATAATATTATACGCAAATATAAAAAATTTCTTTATTTTTATACCATACATTCTCTAACAATCTACTATTATAAAATACATTTTTAAGAAAAATGGGGTTCAAAGATGCTCAATATTATTTTTGTAGCACATATAAAGCATTTTAAAATATCAGCATTTTAAAATATCGTACAACTAGTGTATATAAAAGTGATTTGGCTAAATCTTTATCCATTGTCATGTTCAATTCATCTTATTAAGCCTTGTTTAACGATCATTATTTTAAATATTTTTTCGATATACTCATTTTCAATCATACGTTACAATAAAATATTTTGCACGTAAATCCAAATTTTTTCTTACTTTTTAACCATACAATCTCTAAAAATTACTATTCAAACCCTCATTTTACTTAAATAATGGTTTTCGAACAAAGGCTAAATATAAACTGAAAATTTAATCCCTATTTGGACCTCATTCTTTAAAAAAATTATTTTTCTCCAAATTTATTATCAACCACACATTTTTCTAGTAAAATGATTTTAATCATAAATTTAAAATTTTTTGTACTTTTTAAACATACGTTCTCAAAAAAAAAAAAAAAATTACTATTACAAGATCTATTATCCCCAAAAGGGGCTCAAACATACTCTTGATATCGTGGCCTTTTTTATAGCTCAAACCTTAGCCCCTGTTTAATGACCATTATTTTTGAAAAAAATGGAATTTTGGATAGAAATGTTTAGAATAATGTATGGTTAAAAAATAGAAAAAAAATTAGGTTTACGTGCAAAATATTTTACAGTGTATGTATGGTTGAAAATAAGTATGAGAATTAAAATGTTTTGAAATAATGATTATCAAATAGACTGAAAATTGTGTTTTTACACACTTATTTAGCACTTTTTGCATTTAATTGAGATTTAAATTGAGTTAATTTCTACGCATAATTGTGTGATTTTGTATGTTTGTAGGCTTGATACCCGAATTCGCGAAAAACGGAGTGAAAAGATGAAGAAAGGGACTAAAAGTGTACAAATTGGTGAAGTTAGG